AGGCGAAAGATATGCTCCTCATGGATTGCTGATTTCAGTGATTGGCTAATTAAAAAGGAAACTGCTGCAGGTGATGAAGAACTTTTTTGCAAGGTATGCAATGCCTTTCTTAAAGTGAGTTCCGGCAAATCAGATTTAATAAGCCACAAGAATACCCAAACGCATAAAACCAGATCAATTTGTATTACGAATAGTCAAACCACTATTGCGGAGCAGTTCAGAAATAACACTAGAGAAACGAGACTGGTACAAACCTTGTAACTTCAGTTAAGTGCATTTATAGCGGAACATAGCCTGCCCTTCTCCTGCATGGACCATTTGTCACTGTTTTTAAAAAAATCCATTCCGGATTCAAAAATTGCTCAACAAATTTCCTGCGCTCGAACAAAAACGACAAACCTTGTCAAAAATGTATTGGGCCGTACCCAATTTGAATATTTATGCCAGCTTTTACGTAAAAAAAAGTTTTCGCTGTGTATCGACGAGTCGACCGATATATCCAACAAGGAATCATTGTGCTTAGTGGCTAGGGTTGCAATAGATTTTTAAATTAAACACTTCTTTTTTGGATTAATTGAAGTAGGAAACTGTGATTCACGAAGCATATGTGAAAACATTGTACAATATTTCGAAAAAAAAAATATTTGTTATAAAACTAACTTAATTGGATTTGCTGCGGATGGTGCACCGAATATGACAGGCAAAATCATTCTGCTGCTAAACTGTTAAAAGATGACGTTCCAGATTTATTTATTATGAAATGCATATGTCACTCAATTGCACTTTGTTCATCATATTCGTGCCTTAAGCTTCCATCCGGCGTAGAGTCTTTAGTACGAGATGTGTACAACTACATTGCAAATAGCCCAAAGCGAAATGCGCAATTCATAAAAATTGCTTCAATTTTAGAATTCAAACCAAAAAAAATGTTACATCCCGCTCAAACTAGATGGCTATATTTAGAAGCTGTGGTGAATCGTGTTCTTGAGCTGTACGAACCGTTAAAAATATATTTTGCATTTGCGTCCAATGTCGACCATATAGATTTAAGTTTTTGAAGTATATTCTTCACATCATAAATAACGTTAATAAAATATTTCAAAGCTCAAGCTCCCAAATACCCGGAATGCATGAGGAAATGTTACGGTTATTCCTTAAAATGTTTGGATAATTTCATTCAACCACGATATTTAAATTCAAATCGTATTAATGAACTTGAATTTGAAAATAGAGCAAACATGTTAAATGAGGAGAACGTATACTTAGGGGTTTATGTATCAAAAAAAATTGCTGATAGCAAATTATCTCCTCTTGAATTAAAAGAAATCACCAACAATTGCATTGCTTTTTACATAGAGTTTTG